AGTGCTGGGATTAAAGGCGTGTGCCACCACCTCCCGGCCTAATTTTAACTTTTTAAAACCCTGATACACTGTTATGCAATCTGGTTATACAATATTATATCCCCACCAGAAAAACAAAATTTCCCGGTTCTCTGGCATCTTATTTGATTATTTCATTCTACAAGATGTGAGGTGTTATTGTGTTTCCCGAAATATTGTACACCCTAATAAACTTATCTGGGGTCAGAGACAGAACAGCCACAATATTAAGCATAAAAGATAGGCAGTGGTAGCACACGCCTTTAATCCTAGCATTCCAGAGGCAGAAATCCATGTATTCAAGGAAACAGCCAAGCATAGTTACTCACACCTTTAATCCCAGAAAGCGAGCCTTTAATCCCAGGGAGTGATGGCAGAAAGCAGAAAGATATATAAGGCGTGAGGACCCGCAACTAGAGGTATTTGGCTGGTTAAGCTTTCAGGCTTTGGAGCAGCAGTTCAGCTGGGATTCATTCTGGATGAGGACTCAGAGGCATCCAGTCTGAGGAAACAGGACCAGCTGAGGATCCGGCGAGGTGAGCTAGCTGTGGCTTGTTCTGGTTCTCTGATCTTCCAAGGTTCACCCCAATACCTGGCTCAGGTTTGATTTTATTAATAAGACCTTCTAAGATTCCTGCTACAAAGATGTGAAAGCTCATTGTCCTTAAAGCCAAAGGAAATGGTTGCCATCTAGTGGCCAATTCTGCACATTACATCTGGGAAACCTGGTCCTCATGAAAACCCTAACTTCAAAACTGGCTTGTTAAAATTTGTCTTTATTTCATGATTTTCCTTAGTTAGCATACTAAGAAGAGCGTGAGCCCAGATTTAAAATATTTACTTCTTTACCACAATTGATACCTCAAACACCAGGCTGGGGGCTTTTTTAATTAAAAAGAAATTGTTTATTTGGGTGGGGCTGGGGCCCTGGACAACATGTGGGAGTCAGTTTTCTCCTCCTACCATGTGATACTCAGAGACCAAACTGAGGTCGTCCAGCTTCGTAGCAAGTGCCTTTACCTGCTGAGCCATCCAACCAACCCTGATTTATACTTAACTTTACAAGGGACAATAAAATCAAGACCAAATTTTGTTCCCGATTTCATCCACCTGCACCTGCGAGGTGGCTGAGGCCCGGGGAGGCGGGGAAAGGGTGGAGCTGTCTCTGTTGACTTCACTGGACCATGGAAAGATAATAAAATGGCCAGATGCTGGAACTCTATGGCTCAGTGGTAGGATGCCAGAGTACTGAGGTCCACGGCCCAGCACCAAAGAAAGGAATGGCCAGCAAGTGGGTGGCAGTGGACTGACGGCTGCATGTGTCACGGCAGCTTGAGGTCTACCTCTGTGATGCTCCCCAAGGAACCGACCCTCTCCCTCGTCTACCGTGTGAGCTAACACTTGGTAGGAAGGTAGTTTGGTGACATTGAAATCAGTTGTGGGAATTTGGTCTGATAACCAATTGTACTGGAGCAGCTTGGCTCAGTGGGCGTGGTCTTCTCTGGAGATTCCTGACCGGGTAAGAGCAGGGGAGAAGAGGCACCCCCCTCCCCGGGCCTGGGACTGTGGAGGGCTTGCTGAAGCCACAGCTCGGTGACCTTCTCCGGACCTCCCCCCATCTCCCTTGGGAGCGAGAGGCGGCGACAGCTGGATCAGCAGCGGCGTTACTGATTCTGTGTCCTGAGTGCAGTGTTTTGAACAAACCTGACCTTATCCCAGACCTCCTCTCCAGCGTTAGAAACTGTGAAGTGTGAGCCAGGCATGGTGGCACACACCTACACTTCCAGCGCTTGGGCAGCCCGGGCAGGATGCTGTGGGTGGTGAGGAAACGCCCTCCATAGTTTTCACATAGGAGCACTGGGCCCCCAGTTGGTGCCGCTGCCGGAGAGGTTGTGGACCCTTTTGGACGGGAACCTTGCTGGAGGAAGCGCCCACTTCCTGTTACTGCTGCTGTCTTCCCTCCCCTTCAGGGACTCTCCTCGGGATCTGTGAGCCAGAGTAACACTCCCATTAAGTGCTGCCGGCCATGGTATTTCAGCAACAAAAAGCAACTAATAGAGATAGTGAAACCAAGGCTAGCCTGGTGCACAGACCGTTTTCAAGACCAGCCTAGAATATGTAGTGAGGCTCCATCTCAAGAGAACTTTTATGTTTGGTGTAAACTTTGATCCAGTCCTGAAGACGACTTGTAAAACTACACCAACATGTGGATTAGATTCTTCCAGTAAACATCATGGTGGGGCCAAGCGAACATCTCAGTCAGCTCCTCCCCAGAAGTTCATCTGACTCCAGTCAGTCCTGAGGACCAGGTTACATCACATCTGCTCCAGCTCCAGCAAAGGTCACCAGTGGAGGTGGGAAAGCAGGGCCGTGGGCCATTGACAGCTTCCTGAAGTCTAGTGTGGCTCCATAAGAGAATGGGCCACTGACGACAGCCTCCTTCGGTCTGTAGTGGGTCTGTGAGGCTGGGCCACTGATGGCCTCCTGCGGTCTGTCGTGGGTCTGTGAGGCTGGGCCACTGAGAGCCTCCTGCAGTCTGTAGTGGGTCTGTGAGGCTGGGCCACTGATGGCCTCCTGCAGTCTGTAGTGGGTCTGTGAGGCTGGGCCACTGA